GGTTAGAACCTCTGTCAGGTTTTTTTTGCCTGTTCCTCACTTCCTGCCCCAGAGATGAAGGGTTAGGGAGATGGGAAGTGACATGAAACGGGGGAGCTTTTGATGGACTTTTATTGCTCTCTGGTTTTTACTATCCTGGTGACACCCGTACCCCTCTTTTCTTGTCCTAGTGTTCCAGAAATAAAAAGTGATGGTAAAGCCTTCTGTCAATACCACAGCCAAACATAAATTCATATCTGAGGTTCTGCCCCTGACCTTTACCCCTAAAATGTTGGACTTGCCTTATGTCGCCAAATATTACGGATCACGCATTGAACGCACGCAGCCAATGCCAATCACACCTGGTATACGTTGTATCCGGTCCCGCAGTGATGTCCATAGACCTTGCTGATTCTCTGTAGGCCTTTACATAATGTTAACTTTTTTATACACCTTTACCTTATGCACTAAAGGCAATCTAGGGGCGGGCTCCTTTAATTGAAGGATCAGCCCACCCGAAATGGATATTATCCAAGAAGAAGGGTTGGCGATTTCACTCTTAGGCACCCCAACTCATGCAGAACTGCATCCTTCAAAACACACAGAAGATGTTAGCAAGCCATTGAAGACAGCAAGCCATTGAATACATTTTGGCTTTCTATACATGTAAGTCATTCTTGTGTTCTTAATTGAGGGTGCCGCTGTGTTAAATGCCACCTGCAGGCTGTAAACAGCCAGTGCAGCACGGGTGTTATATTTTAGGTTGCTTTTATATTAAAGGAAACCTGTACTGAGCGAAGTACGGGGGTCTTCCAATGCTGATCTTCTGCTAAGAATACTAGTTACCTGGCTTTTCTGGCTTTGCCAAGCTTGGGCAAAGAATTAAAAGATATGTTGCCCATTATCTGTTAAAACTGAAAATAAGCAGCTACACAACTGTTATACTCACCCTATCTCTGGCACAGTCTCCCAAAAGACTCTGCAATTTAATGTCGCTCCTCTTTCAGGTTGAATGACGCCCACTGTCATTCAGCCCACCCTCTGTGAGCCCAGAGCGTCAAGGGCATGCCCCTCACCCTAGAATTTCGGGGTTATGCATCAGAAAATGGCGCTATGTCATTACATGAATGAGACCCAGTTTAATTCATCTCGCTTAATGTGAGCCCAGGACGTCTTTCCCCAGGACGTCATGCCCCTTGCCCTGAACTCGCAGGTTGAGTGGCACTATGGCATTACATGGATGACGCCCATTTTCATTCAACCCATTTTCTGTGAGCCCAGGGCCTGTCCCTTGTCCTGGACTCACAGGTTGAGTGGCACTATGTCATTACATGAATGACGCCCAATGTCATTCATCCCATTTTCTGTGAGTCAAGGGCCTGCCCTCTGTCCTGAACTCACAGGTTGAGTGGCACTATGTCATTACATGGATGTCATTACATGGATGACGCCCAGTGTCATTTAACCCATTTTCTGTCAGCCCAGGGCGTCAAGGGCCTGCCTCTCCTGGACTCTCAGGTTTATACTGCAGGCAGTGGCACTGTGTCCTTACAAGGCGCCGGTCTCTGTAGCATTTGGGATTCCACTGCAGAGGATAAAGAGGACCTGTGACGTAACTGGAAGCTATGCATACCCACCCCTGGAGTTCGATATTGGGCTTTAATACTTAGGGACTGACTGAACATGTAAAACCTGCAGATTAAAGAGTTGGATTGAAGTTTGAACTCCTGGCCGGCATACTTGTATTTAGTCTATGCCTCAAAGGATATTGAAGCCTTCGAATCACCATATAGTCTAGGGCAGGGGTAGGCAACCTTGGCTCTCCAGCTGTGCTGAAACTACGAATCCCATAAGGCATTGCAAGCCACAAGCATGACACCCAGAGGCAAAAGCATGATGAGATTTGTAGTTTCAGCCCAGATGGAGAGCCAAGGTTGCCTACCCCTGGTCTAGGGGAAGGCAAACTCCGGCGCTCTAACTGTTGTGGAACTACAAATCCCATGAGGCATTGCAAGATTTTTACAGCCCCAGGCATTACTTCCAAAGACAGATGCATGATGGGATGAGGAGTTGCATCACAGCTGGAGGGCCGGAGTTTGCCCACCTCTGATATATAACCAGACAACCAATGGACAGTGTGACAACCTCCATATTCTTTCACTACAGGTTTCCTTCAAGTGAAAACTTGCGATGCTTCAGAATTCAAACCCACTGAAAACACCATTATTTTTTTTTACTGCAAAACTTGGTCCTTCATAGTTCTATTCAGGAAAATATAAGAATTGTTAAATATTTTTGTACTTCACAGTAAAATTTACAGAATATTTTATTTTATAAATGTATATTTTTGCATGTTATGTAAAAAAAAAACCCAATCTGATTTGTCTTTGAATATATGCCTTTTATTGTGAATATAATATTATTGCCTTTTAACGCTCTGTAGTGACAAAAAGTGCACCACAGTGTTTTATCATTGATAATTAAACCGATTTAATATGTTCTCGTCTAGTTTGTGTGAATATTGATTTCAGATTTTGATTGTGAATTGAACCCCAACATATTGGGGGGGAGGGATTCTATAAGGCATTTGCAACAAATTATATCAAAGCAATTGTTACAGTTTTAGCCTCTTAGATCATTTTTTTTTATGTGCAAATCTGTAATTTTAACATGTGCCCCCTGTGTTCACCTCAGCACGCACTACTTTTCCAACTGCACGTTTTTTTGCACTTGTTTTGCCCCTGTTTTCATCTGCACTTGTGCTGCGGCTGTATGAAACTGGAGCATCACCTAAGAAAACAATCACAACTTAAAGGAGAACTATGAGGGGGGTGCTTTTCACTCAACTCATAGTTCTAGCCGACCTGTGACAATGAGACTGTCACAGGTCGGCTCAGTAGATCGGGAGGTGAGTGAACACATACCGGCGTTCGCTCACTTCTCGATCCTGTCACAGCTCTCAGGAGCAGCTGCTTGCGGTATACTGAGCCTAGGGTGACGGGAGAACGCTAGTTTGTGTCCTCCCGTTACCCTAAGGAGAACTATGGGGAAAAGCCTTAACGCCATAGTTCTCCTTTAAGAAGTCCCCATGACCACTTCTTCAAGAAGCCACAGTTATGCTTTTTACCTGAAGTTACAAGTCTTCTGTCTTGGAGTCTAATAACCCTTTCACGACCAACGACTTACAGTGTACGTCATTGGCATCGGGATTGTGCCGCCGGGACTCTATATAAACTTGTAAAGCCGACTGTGGGCTTTACAGTAGAAGCAATTCTGGCGGCTCAGCTGCTGCCAGATTGCTTCTACGGAACGGTGAACGCGCCCCATCCCCCCACCCGCCCGACACCCCCGCCGTGTTTCCCAGGCTCCATTCCCCGGCTTCTTTGGAGTCGGTGGGAAGCTGGGGAGGAGATGGACGAAACTCCGTTCGCCGATCCCCTCCCCGTTCTATGGGACCGGGAGCGATGCAGATTGCATTACTTCCGGTCCCATAGCTGTCAGTTCTGGGCTCCTGCAGCCCAGCTATAAGCTATTGAAGTGTTATCTGCACTTCAATAGCTTATTTAGAGTGTAAAGGTGACACTGGGGGTCTTTTGGACCCCCAGCATCACCTTAAAGAGTACCTGTCACTGCCAATATGCGATTGTAAGCCCGCCTATGTGATAGCAAATAAAGTAAAGTAAAAATTAACATTAAAATAAATGTATAAATAATTTTAAAACATTTTTTAAAGTCCACGTATGAAAACGACAAACGCGCTACACATGTTTGGTATCGCTGCGCATGCCGGAGTGCAATAATTCTAGGGCCAGTATTTTTGGGTATCTCTAAACTGATGACCTGTTGGGGGGCGCTTTTAAAGCGTCGTCCATGGACTTTTTGGGGTACTGAATTTTGTCGCCGTTTCACGGAAGGGCATGCAATTTTTAATCTGGGCATGCTGGGTATCTATTTACTCGTTGTAACCTCCTCTTTTATATTGTATTAAACAAATGGGTATTGTATTGTGTTTTGGGGCATTTAAGTGTTTTTTAAACTAAATTTTGGGGTTTGATAAGGAGTGCTAATATCGTGCAACATAAAAATTTGCAACTGCCACCATTTTCTTCTACAGGGTGTTGGCTTTCAGAAAATATATAATGTTTGGGGATTTAAGTAATTTTCAGGCCTAAAATGTGCAATATAACATGGGTGCAAAAAAAAAGGCCTCAGTCATGAAGGAGTTAAAGCAGAAATAAGCCGCGGAGGGGGCTGGGTAGAGTGTGATGTGCAAGGACGGAAGTACATCATCATGGCACACTTACCTCACCCAGCGTGCCCATCCTCAGCTCTCATGCCACTTCCGGGCATCCTCATTGGCCTATAATGATGATAACTTTTGCGCATGCACACAGGAGATGCATCCTCCCCAGCACCAGGCCCATTCACGGCATCTTAGAGATGTTGTAA